ATATATATATATATATATATTTAATTTTTTTTTCCTGAAGTTGCTTTTGTAGATTCTTTCTATATATTATTCACAGCTATGGATATTTTCAATTTTGTACACCAAAGGGATGTTAATTTAGAGGACATTTTTAACACTAATAAAGAATGTGATGGTGATTCACAAAACAAATTTTAAACAACTCAAGCACACACTAGAGAAAGTTAATGTTATGGTGGGACATTGTCTCACATGAGAGGTATTTAAAAGAAAGGATTACACCGAGAAGTTTACGTTGGGATGTCCCACCAAATGATGGTCTTAAGAGGAGTCTCAGAGAATTGGCAGCATTTTTTTTTAGACATTGTGAGGATAAACTATTAGAATTATTAACAGAAAGAAAAGAAAACTAGGAGTTGATAGAAGCAAAGATTTGTACATTGAAACAAAAATAAGAACCATTGGCGGGATTGGGAGAATATAGTAAAAAAATAAAAAAAAAATCAGAGGGTTTGGAAACTTTTCTGAAAAAGAGGGATCAAGAAATAAAAAAAAAAATTAAAAAAAACATTTACGGGATACATTAGACTATTAATATTCTAAAGTCTACAAATGGCAGAACAATGAGGAGGAATTATTGAGCTGCAATAGCAATGAGAGTGAGACAAATGGAGATTGACATCAATGAGGAAATGGTTAATAGGTTGGTAGTACATTGGAAACCCATATATAAAAGAGAAAAAGGGAACAGATACAGGAGGGGGTTGATGAGGAGATTGGAGCAGGGTTCTGGGAATTACGTAGAGAGAGGGGTAGAGTTAAGTGTCCCAATCACAATATAAAAAAGTAGAAAAATTGGAGTTCAATATACCAACCTCACAGAGATACCATTCATTAATGGAGGAAAATATGAGATGGGAAGAGAACTCAAGAAACGGTCCGGCCCCATATAATAATAATAGGAATTTTTTCTGGGGAGGTTTCCACGATCACCCCCCAGGAAGAGGGAGGGGGATGGAGACCCCCCCACTCCCCAGTACCTCCACAGATACCACGAGAGAGGAGGGGGATGGAATGGGAAGAGGGAGTACAACAGGGGATGGGAGAATTACGGACAGGCGCCTCAAAGAAACAGAGGGGGACGAGGTTTTCAAAGCAGAAGGGGGTGTTGGGAAAAGGGTTTTTTAACATCAGTTCCATCAAGTTAACATCAGATGAAGAAAAAGTTCTAGATTTAGGATAAAAATTTTCCCCAGTAAGAAATTTAAATAAAATTAAATTTATATATAGGATTTAAATAAATTCATTAGAAATATCAATTTAAAACAATATTTTTTATCCTTACCAGGCCCGAACAACAAAGCTTACTTAGGAATTCCAGCTGAAGGATATAAGCACACTTCCCTTAGACCCCGTTCACATGTAGCGACATACCTTTGCAGCGGCCGGGATAGCGCGACTTTCGGGGCGACGTTCCAGCGGCGGTAGCGTGACCTTCTCCGTCGGGCTCCATAGAAAAAAAGCAAAATCGCGCAAAATCCGCCGAAAAAAGGGTCCGGTAGAAGCGACTTGCGACCGCGACATGGAGTTAAGACAGCTCCATTGAATAGCATTGGCCGGCGACTTCTCGCGATATCGCGCGGCAAAAATGCGCCATATCGCGGCGGAAATCGCGCGATAAGTCGCTATATGTGAACGGGGCCTTAGGAATAAATCTACTATTAACCCTAAAAGTAATTCTAATCATTATGTAGAGACCTTTAAGGGTATCATAGAAAAATACATCAGGGAGCTAAGAATTGAGAAAAGGGATAAATTGTTTATTAAAAAATGGAATAAAAAAAGGTTTAGAAAAAAAAAAAAAAAAGAAGAACATCAGATCAGCGGATAAAGAGGGAGGGGTGGTAATAATGGATAAAAGCTGATTCCACCACAATTTTTGTACAAACCAGAGTGGCAATGGGAGCCAAGTTTGCTCCGAGCATAGCAAACATTGTCATGGCCCAGTGGGAAGAACAACATATTTTTAAAGGGTTTAGACTAGGGATGCACCGATACCAATACAAGCATCGGTATCAGCGGCGATACCGAGTATTTGCATGAGTACTCGTGCAAATACTCAGATACATAAAACGAGTACCTGTGCCACGTCCGCCATCTTCAGGGACCCGAATCCGCCGCACACAGGACCTCCATCGCGTCTTCAATGAAGCAAGATGGCCGCGACCTCCTCTGTCATCTGCTCCATTCTGACCTCTTCTCCCGCTGATTGGCCGATTGGATGATTGACAGGCTTCCTCACCAGTCAGGAGTGACTGGTGAGGAAGCCTGTCATCATCCAATCGGCCAATCAGCGGGAGAAGAGGTCAGAATAGAGCAGATGTCACAGCCTAGTCATCTGCTCCATTCTGATCTCTTCTCCCGCTGATTGGCCGATTGGATGATTGACAGGCTTCCTCACCAGTCAGGAGTGACTGGTGAGGAAGCCTGTCATCATCCAATCGGCCAATCAGCGGGAGAAGAGGTCAGAATGGAGCAGATGACTAGGCTGTGACACGGAGTGGCTGAAGCAGACGGAGAAGACGACACAGCAGGTTAGTACTGCTGCACCTCATGGGGCTGGGTACAAAAATGCTGTTTACCGGCATATATTATTTAAAAAAAAGAAAATAACTATGTAGATATTGCTAACTAAGGCTTGTATCCCCCTAGTGGTCAAAATAGATGAGCACATGTCCAGACTGCAGACCAGAACACAGTGTGGCACAGCTATATCCAATTCTGCATACCTGGCTTTATATTATAAGAAAATGTAATAATAATATAAAGCCAGTTATACAGAATTGGCTGTAGCTGTGCCACACTGTGTTCTGGTCTGCAGTCTGGACATGTGCTCATCTATTTTGACCACTAGGGGGATACAAGCCTTAGTTAGCAATGGCATGATAAATATTAATTTCATTATTCAATGTCTTTTTTTAAATATTATAACATTTATAATATTAAAAAAAAGACATTGAATAATTAAATTAATATTTATCATGCCATTGCTAAGGCTTGTATCCCCCTAGTGGGGAAAATAGATTACCACATGCCCAGACACAGTCCAGAACAGTGTATTATTGTATAGTGTGGAACAGCTGTATCCAATTCTGCATACCTGGCTTTATATTATAAAGTTCTTATAATATAAAGCCAGGTATGCAGAATTGGATATAGCTGTGCCACACTACAGAGTGTTCATGTTCTTCATAATATTAAGAAACTGACCTAAAATCATGATTTTGTATTGCTTTAGAAAAAATGTGACCTGTCCCTTTAAGAAAAAGTATCGGTAATTGGTATCGGCGAGAACTTGAAAAAAAGTATTGGTACTCATACTTGGCCTTAAAAAAGTGGTATCGGTGCATCCCTAGTTTAGACCAACTCTTTAATACAGGAAATGCTTTATCAATGACATTCATTGAATTTTTAGAAGAAATTGATCAAAATCCCTACGGGTTAAAATTTACTAAACATGTGGATGATAAAAATGGTACAATTTTTGGATCTTAATATTTTTTAAAGCATTTGAAAAATATGTACCAATACGTATTTTAAGAACACAACAGAAATGGATATATACCACGGGGAAGTTGCCATCACCCCGAATGGGTAGAAAATATTCCCAAAGGCAAATATGTGAGGCTAAGAAGGAATTGTACAGAGGAAAATGAATATAATAGACCGACGTCAATTTTAGAGGAAAGATTTAAAGAAAAAAGGGCAACAATACTAAACGAGTGAAATAAGCTAGAGACACAGTATGGGGGTTAAAAAAAGAGAACATTTGTTGATAAAAAAGAAAGATCGGTTCAATAATAATTATCCTGTGTTATGGATTATACTGCTCAGATTAAAGATTTCGAAAAGATTATGAATAAACATTGGGGTATTTTGAAAAGGGATAGAATTCTGGGTCCGCTTATATCATCCAACCCCCATATTCTTTGGAAGTGTAGGCTTTTATCCATGTAAAAATTGCATAGGTTGCAGGATGACAAAAAAAGTATATTAACAAAAAGGAGGATACATTTTACCTCCATTTCAAATGGTAGACATTATGAAATAAAATAATTTATATCCTGCCACACATCTTATGTAACCTATGTATTGGAATGTCCATGTGGCTTCCAATATATCGGTAGAACAACTAGGGAATTGAGAGTTTGTATTAGTGAACATATAAAAAAATGGCTTCAACCATCATGGTGTATCCAGACATTTTAAAGAAGTTCATAACAAAGTTGTGGTTATGACATTTTATGGAGTAGATAGAATTTACGGCCACTAGAGGGGCACTAACAACTTAACTAGGATGATTTCCAGAAATTAAACTAAATGGATTTTTCATTTAGACATATTGAAGCCTAGTGGATTAAACATTGAGTTGGATATTGTTTTATTAGTAATAGTCAACCATAATGTATTCTTATAAGGAGTACAATTCCTTTTATTTATAAAAGTTGATTTTAATTAATTAGTATGGGTGGCTGGATTTTTATTTCCATTGCTATTAAAAAGATATACACTATATTATCAAAAGTATTGGGACACCCCTCCAAATCATCGGATTCAGGTGTTCCGTGAAACTTCCTTGCTACTAAATATTCGACGGTCAACTGTTAGTGGTATTATAACAAAGTGGAAACAACTGGGAACAACAGCAACTCAGCCACGAAGTGGTAGGCCATGTAAAATGACAGAGCGGGGTCAGCGCATGCTTAAGTGCACAGTAGAGCTGCAACAGTTAATCAATTTAGTCGATTAAAATCGACGATTGAAAACGTTGGCAACGTTTTCGATCGTCGATTCGTCGGCTATCGATTGATTTGCCTGTTCGGGGCTGATCCGGGCTCCACATGCGGCCTGAGCCACACATCACACGCTGCGGCTGCCATGCCCACGGCACGGGCCGCGTAAGCCACGCCCACCGCACAGGACGCTGAAGCCGCGCACGCCGCTGCTCTACTCCTCGACGCGATCTCCCTCACTCGTCGCACAGATGTCGCTAACTGTCTGCAGAGTCAATAGCTACAGACCTCCAAACTTCATGTGGCCTTCAGATTGGCACAACAACAGTGCATAGACAACTTCATGGAATTGGTTTCCATGGCCGGGCAGCTGCATCCAAGCCTTACATCACCAAGTGCAATGCAAAGCGTTGGATGAAGTGGTGTAAAGCATGGCACCACTGGACTGTGTTCTCTGGAGTGATGAATCCCACTTCTGTCTGGCAATCCGATGGACGTGTCTAGGTTTGGCGGTTGCCAGGAGAACGGTACTTGCCTAACTGCATTGTGCCAAGTGTAAAGTTTGGTGGAGGGGGGATTATGGTGTGGGGTTTTTTTTCAGGGGTTGGGCTTGGCCCCTTAGTTCCAGTGAAGGAACTCTTAAGGCATGGGTAGCCAAACTCCGGCCCCTCCAGCTGTGGTGAAACTACAAATCCCATGAGGTATCTCTCTCCAGAAATCATGTCTGTGGCTGTGAGAATCTTGCAATGCCTCATGGGATTTGTAGTTCCACCACAGCTGGAGGGCCGGAGTTTGGCTACCCCTGTCTTAAGGCATCAGCATACCAAGACATTGTGGACAATTTCATGCTCCCAACTTTGTGGGAACAGTTTGGGGATGGCCCCTTCCTGTTCCAACATGACTGCGCCCCAGTGCCCAAAGCAAGCTCCATTGAGACATGGATGAGCGAGTTTGGGGTGAAGCAACTTGACTGGCCTGCACAGAGTCCTGACCTCAACCCGATAGAACACCTTTGGGATTAATTAGAGCGGAGACTGCGAACCAGGCCTTCTCGCCCAACATCAGTACCTGACCTCACAAAATTTTGGGTGATAAAAGCTTAGAGAAATTTGGGAGAAGGGAAGTCTAAGGGAACGAGACTGAACAAACAACAAAAGGAAGACGAGAAGAGAACGTAAACTTCTGTCCCTAAATTGACCAAGGCTGAACATCACTTAGACCAAAGAATTTCCAAATTAGTGGTATAGATTTGAATCTCTCTGTAAGCAATTTATGTTAGACATATACCTGACATGTAATGTAACCATTTGGTTATAATGTGTTAGCATCGATATTGAATTAGAGAAATTTTATCTACAGTAACAAAATTATCTCTATTTCAGTTTTGTGATCTCAATTTTGTGAAGCTAATATTGGCTTCTAGTCAATGGTTTAGTCTATGATATATATATATATATATAAATATTAACATATTAAAATACTGGAAATGATAAATGGTGTTTGACATATTTATAACACAAAATAGTTTTCTTTCAATTATACTGTCAGTGTCCACCCATTTCCTCATTATTAATTTCAGGACTCAGAACTGAGTGCGTTATCACATACAATATTCTTTAAGTGTAACCTGACAAAAAAGATGGTCTATGTGTGACAGCAGACTTTAGTAGACACCATATCTAAACAAATATTAGCCAGCTTGGCTGTACTAACCAACAGACCTATTTCTCCATTATAACAGCGAAAATACAGGTAGATTCAACAGGTTGCAACACTGCTCCTCCACGGCCAGCAGCATGGAAAATAAAACAGGTGTCTGCTGGCTGAGCTCATCCACGTTCTAATGTACATACCTCGACAGTAAAAATAATCCAAAGAAACTATTAATACTGTGCTATATTTCTACTAATTACAAAGTGCAAAACAATTGCTTAATAGTGCAAAATAATACAGTGAATCACTTGAATTCATTTACAAAAAAAACTAATTACGAGTCCCAAATAAACCATCCGCAGTGAAATTTAATTTGTGGTTCCCACCATTCCTCCACTTATGCTATCCTCGTGGTGCTCACCATGCCTTCACTTGCGCAATTATCCTCAATTCATGAGATGCCACCACCAATGCCGTGAACACCCTCCTCTATGCAGCTCACCAAGTTAAAAGACCTATGAACAAGGTCCTGAACTCTAATCCCCTTCAGGTTTGATCCAGGGCGGGATGATACTCCAAATTAGTCACAACAGCTCAGGCATACTTCAGCGTTAGGATCGAAAGCAGGTCAAAATTAGCTGTCGGACCTCTCTTCTCCCAGTCTCCTTTTTATACTACAGCCACCATGTATAAGGCAAAAAAGGTAATTCATAGTGCTCACCGCTCACAAAGAACAAAGCGTTTATTAAAAGGAGCTACTCACATAAAATGCATAAAATCACAACACAGAACTTGGCTGCAATGGGAGGTCAACATGCCTCTCTCCCCCGCCTCTCTGCCAGCCCACAGCGATATCAGGCTCCACCCTACGTATGTTACGTCATTTTTAACTTCGTCAGGGGTGTGGAGCTGAGAGCGCCTATCTGGATAAATATACAATGTGGTCACCATGGAATCATTGAAGACAATGCTGATAATAATAAAACTGCTAATCCCACTAGTTACTTTTTCCACACCGCATCAGATACCACACCGGTGTTAGCTCCAGTCCGGTCTTGTACACAGACATCCAGTAAGCAATTCTCCACTGGGTATACTCCTCCAGAGTCGCTCCTTGGGTGAATGCACCCACAATACAATACACATTCAATCAGCCAATCGATGTAGACTTGCCCTATATCCTCTTGCTATCCCTAAAGGGGCAGATGTAATTAATTACAAATAACCCCTTTATTCCTCCATCTCTTAAAATGAATCTACCTAGACGCGATCCAGTGCTTTCCAGCAGCTAATCATGCTGGAACGCATTGGAGCTAGTGTGAACAAGCCAGCCTCCCAACACACACACTTTCTCTCAATCTCGCCATTCCCCCCTTCTTCCCCATACTGGCAGCTAGGAACAAAAGAGAGAGTTCAGAGACACAATAAACGATCCTCTCACTACACACAGTGGCCGATGCGAGATGCTCCAGAGAGGGTACATGACAGGGCTCACATAACAAAATGCGGCTTAGACTCACAGAACAGGGGGCAGGTCTGACATTACACGGAGTCATAACACTGCATCTAGCTCTCTGCACCGGCGCCAGCTCTGAATGCAAACTACCGTAATGTCTCCAACTGCAACAGGCAAATGCACTGTTGTAGTCAAATTGTTCATTGCCACATTCTGTAGACAGAAGGTGTGCTATAAGTTAGATATATTTTATTTCCTTACCTTTGACTGATTAAATGCATCCTCAGGTGAACGCCTGCTTGGTGCCAAATATGATCTTGCAAATAAGTTTGCCAGTATCAGAACCAACAATTCCATTACAGTGTCTGGAAATTTTGTAGTGTCTGAATGATAAGAAAAAGGGACACAAATGTACAATGCTCTGGCTATACATTACTAAAAACTTTTTTCCAAACTACTATTACTACTACATTCAATCAGGCATTTATTATTATTAAAAACAGTCAGTCAGTGTTTCACTAATTGCTAATGCTAATTTCAATAGTTTTAATTAGTATTAAAGAGTAAGAGCATATGAAAAAGGTATTCCTGTTTGGATAGAAGGCCCAACATTATCTTGCTTAATAAAACATGTGCAGGGAGATACTTTTTTCCCCCCCATGAGATTTCATGGCATAACAATGGGTAAATAAATGAACTAAACCTACTTCCACACTATCCCACCCAATCCCACCCAATCTGTTAACACACTATAGCCACTGTATACAAATTACACTGATTGCCCCAAATTAGGGTGAGCAAAATACAGTGGTCTAACTAAATATCATCTAAGCATACAAACCAAATATATACAACATAATACAAACAGATTGTGATTTGCTCTTTTATTGTCATTAATGAACTCAGTAATGGCAGAAACAGCTCATAGAGCAATATTATTCCTTACTTAAATAACCTAAAAGATCTCCCCATAGGGAATGCACATGTAGTAGTTAGACCTTAATTTATTTCAATACAGAATAATAAATCACACTATAGCTGGCCATTCACCTATAGATTATCTGCAGATTTTCTATGGTCAGGTGGAAAAAGTGCAACAAATTCCTCCATCTACGCTAAACTGTGTGGATGGAGGAATCTCCCTCTTAGCGTAGATGGAGGATTCTGTTGCACTTTTTCCACCTGACCATAGAAAATCTGCAGACAATCTATAGGTGTATGGCCAGCTTATGAGTGGTTTCTTATGCAAATTAGGTTATTTCTTACTGGTGGAGCAGCTAATAAGGAACAGAAGTGGACATGGGCCGCTATGCATATGATATACAAATGCACATAAACTAGACATGCAAGCTGGCAAAAAAATTGTTTAGGTTTTTTACGTTTCGTTATTTTGTTTTTCGGGTCTGAAAGTCAATGCGTTTCGGCATTCGGGTTCAGATGAGTTAAATGATCATTTTCGTTGCAGAAAAGTGTAATTACAAGTTTACTTTTGTTTTGTTTGAGGTGTCAGAAATAAAAAAAAAAATAACAGCGTGGGGTCCCCCCCAATTCTTACCAGACCCTTTATGTCTGGTAGGAATGTTATGAGGGACCCCTGATGTAAAAAACTAAACAAAATGCAGTGTGCAATTCATGCCAGACCCTTAACATCTGGTAGGAATTTTAAAGGAGGAACCCCAACACCACAAAAAGAAAAAAATGGGGACCTCCCATACCAGACCCTTAATCCGGGCAGCAGCCTGGCAGGGCGGGGAAGGGAGGGGGGGTGAGCAAGCGCCACCCCGAAAAACACATAACTTTATTGCTATCACATAGGGGGCTAAGAAAACCCCTTTATGCGATAGCAAAATATGTGACAGGTCCTCTTTATGGAGACATCAGGGGTCTCCAAGACCCCTGTCACCTAAGACCCCCCCTGAAGAAGCAGAGATCTGCTTCCTCAGCTTCTCTCCAGCATCTGAAGCTGGAGAGTGACACAAGAATGTGGAAGTGATGTAATACATCACTTCCGCATTCTGACAGCGGAGAGGGGAGCGAAGGGAGGCCCCTGTGACAGAGGCACTATGCTGGTCCCGGACTCTCATTGGGCACAGCGGAGCCGGGGGGCCCATCCGGGGACCTCATACAAGCGATCCGCCGACTCTATACCCAGCGGATCGCTTGTATATTAACGGGCATCGCTGCCTGTTTTCAAATATCGGGCATTTCCCGCTCAGATCTAGAGAGCTCCTGGCCGGCCGTTTTTTTTACAACAGCCGGCCGGGAAGTGGTTAATATTTTTAATTTTAACCTTTGGGCTATTGGAAGCTAGTGCAGGGATTGGCAGAGGGGGGTTGCAGACACTATTCTATTTACTTCTTTTATATAAAATTGGGAAATTGTTTTGTGTTTGAGTGGAATGTAATGGAGTGTATTTTATACTGCAAATTTAGGTCGACTCTTGACCATGTCTGCATGACTTTTGAAATAAGTTGCAACCACATGACTTGCTATTTGACAATTTGTATTAGTGAATAAGTATACCTAATGAAGGTATATACACATACAGTAAATATAATTCTCTAATGTAATGAAATATAAATGGCCTAAAAATGTACCTCCAGGTAGTGGCTTGCACAGCTGATGAAAGAGACCTTTTTCAAGGAAGGAGACAAATACAAAATTGGATGGCTCATGATCATGTAGCTGGGTAACAAGTCCTGTAAATTCTGTAGGATGAAAGTCTTGATCCAGGTATTCCTTTTAAAAGATAAAAAGATAAATCACAGATATGTGAATGAATGTTTATAAAACAATACTTTGCAAAGTATAACTTTATATTTCAGGAAAGCATGCAATTGCAATAAAAGAGATCATGAGGTTGTCATGATGAACTTCTAATGCTTCTAACTTCTAAAAGGGAAATATCAATGCTGTTGCTCTTATAACAAAACAGTGAAGCCTGTGACACACTGCACGTGTGTCAGAGCACATATTTATTAAGAAACGTGTCCACAGGAGCAAGCAAAAATCATAAACCGGAAAAAGCCAAGGTCAGGAGACGGATTGGGTAGTCGTACAAGCCAGATCAGGAGCACAGATCAGCCAGGATCGGGTCATACACAGAATCAGAATACTCAGAGCAGCAGACTGGACTGGTTTATATAGTGAGTGGGGTGACATCACTCAGACAGGAAACTCCCATCTGGCTCTCTCAGATGATGCTCTCCTGTTTGGCTATAAGAGGGAGCCTGGAACTAGTGAGCAACGTTACAGAGTCTGCTCAAGCAAAGGAGGAATCACAGGTGAGTAAAATGGCAGCCAAGTCAGAATGCTGCTGTTAAGTCAGGGATAGACCCTGACAACACGAAACAGTGCAAAGCAAAGGGTTGCGATGGCGCATGGACCTTCGCGAGCAGTGTGTCTTGCAATTTTCACTCCAACGCGTCAGCTTGCGAGAGCTCGCATTACTGAGGGTGCCGAGATGAAAATTTTAATTTTCAGCCAATCGGCTTGCGCATATAAACCCGCGTATCATGATGCGATGTCCATTGAATTGTTATGCGAGAGCCGATTGGCTGAAGATAAAATCTTACATCTGGCCGCACTCAGCTACTCTTATACACTGTATGAGAACATCCGTGCGTCGCTGCTTTGCTTTACTCTACATGCAGCGTGTCATGGGCTTCATTATGTGGTTCAATTTTTTTAACCAGCACAAGCAATTGCGAAAGTAACACACTTACTTTGAATTAGTTAAAGTGACACTAAACTCAGGAGTTAAATCTTAAAAATACATTCAAGTACCCCAACTATTAATAACACTGTACAATATTTGTGTATCACTCAGCTGTATATGCTCAAATCATCTCTTAATTGGTGCCGACACCGTCCTTCCTTCTGGGGGGTGGCTACGTTTGTTCCCCATTGTCCATGTGTGAATTGTAAAGCAGCCACAGCTACGAGCTTGCTCCAGTGATATACTACAATCTCAATACAAATTAGTAAGCCAATATATTTAGAAAGACACCACTTGTATGAATAAACACTATTTTTATTTAATTGAATCACATCATTAAAACATGTATAGCAAAATCATGTTTAAATTACATACAAGTGTCCATCCTTATATTCTGAGCATCCCTATTTGCATCCACAATGAACTACCTGGGAATAAGATACTGGCCTATTTATAGTGTAAATTACTACTTAGGTTCATATGTAGGCTGTAGTAGATTGCGGTCCAGATATCACCACAAGGTAACTACTCCTCTATGCGTTTCGCTCCCATTGAAGGGGCTTCTTCAGGAGGGATGGCTAGATGGATGCTCTACATGATTAAACAAATACCTAGTATCCATCTATTATATACATAATCAACATGATATTGAGTATTCATTCAATATCACACTGTGTATATATTTCAAAAGAAACATACATCTTCAAAACAAAGAAAATCAAAGAACACCAAACACAAAGAAAGTAATCTTGCTTGGATATATGGCCACAGATGCAGGAGGAGGACAACACAGCACTGAACTCAAAACAGTGCGCACTGAAAATGCAGATGATAACCCATTCAGGAGTTAGTTTCCCCTGAAGAGCCTACAAAGAAAGATCATAAGGCTATGAATTCCCAAAAGTTGGATATAGTAAAAAGAAATGCCCAAAAAAAGAAGCCCTTCAAAAGGGAGCGAAATGCATAAAGGAGTAGCTACCTTGTGACCTTTAACCTCTTCATGACAGCTTTTTTTTCCGTTTCTGTTCTTTAATGACTGAAGCACTTTTTACATTTTTACTGTGTGATTCTTCCATGGCAGTAATATACTTCCCAGATAGCAAGAAATTGAGCTGCAAGTTTGAAAATCAATTGCTAAACTATTGCTAGACTTGCCAAGCTTCACAATTTTGTTGCACAATTACAGCAGGTCTGCATTGCAAGTCTCCAGATCAGCGTGCTTTGTAAAAGTGCTGTACACTTTCAGAGCTCTTGCTAAGACCTGCAGGACTCTTGCTGTAGACTTGCCAAGCAAATTTGCTACAAATTCAAAAAGTGTCAACTAGAACTTGTGCTGCATGTGTTCTGCAAGTCTACGGCCTCATTCACACTGCCACGCATATACGTGCGCATGTGCGTATTGTACCATATACAAATAAATGGCTCTATACACATACCCGCGTATGGAGCCGTATATTTGCGTAGCGTAAAAATGCGCAAAAACAGAATGGAACCGAGCTGTCTGGGTAGCGTATTTAGGCACATATACGCGCGTACACTTCATTAACATTTCTATTACGAATGATGCATTCTGGGATTGCAAATAGTGCACACATATACGCTCGTATATATGCAATATACAATTTTGCGCTTGCGTTGTGTGTGAATGAGGCAGCAAGTTAAAGGAGAACTATGGGGTTAGGGCTTTTCCCCATAGTTCTCCTTAGGGTAACGGGAGGACACAAACTAGCATCCTCCCGTCACCCTAAGCTCAGTATACCGTGAGCTATACTGAGATGCCGCAGCTGAAGCGGATCCTGACAATTGTCTGGATCCGCCCAGCTGCGTGAGTGACAGCTGGCTCTGCTTATCTAGAGGCAGAGCCAACTGTACCCGCCCCCTCCCCTGTCCGTTCCGCCAGTCAGCGCTGGAGGATCGGGAGGGGGGAATCCAGTCCCTCCCCTGTCACGGCTGTGACAGGATCGAGAAGTGAGCGAACGCCGGTATGTGTTCGCTCACCTCCCGATATTCCTGATCTACTGAGCCGACCTGTGACAGTCTCATTGTCACAGGTCGGCTAGAACTATGAACTATGTTAAATTTAACAAGAATTACAATTTAACCCTGCCACAAGTTTGTGGCAAGTTATCCTTGCTATCTGGGTTTCTTACTAAGTGCACCCACACATATTATATATAGTTTTTTAGGGGACAGATAGGGATATATATTTATATCACATATGTGTGCCTAACCCCTCACTTAGTATGAATAACATAGAACAAAAAGAGGAAAAACACTGTTTCCCCAGTTTTTGGTTATTTAAAAAAAAAAAAATAGCACAGCTAAAAAAAATGCATTAAAATAAATTAATGTATTATTTAGAAACACCTCACATCCCTAGGATTTTTCTGAAATTGTTCTGTACTTTTCAGCCTAAAACTAAAAGCTAACATTTAATTTTTTATCTCTAAAAACTAATAGTGGTTAGGTGGCCTACAATGTCAATGTCATTAAGTGTCACTAACTGTCACTGTCACACTTAGGGACAGAGACATACCTCTGAAGAACGCTGTCATGGGGGGTTAAATCAATTTTTTTACTCAGGGTGAAAAACAAATTTTAAGGGGTTAATTTTTTATATTATAGTATAAAAATATATTATTTTTAATTTGTAAATTTTTATTTTTTTTAATATTTTTTACACTTAACAAAACAAAACTTAGGAACAGCCAATAATAGCCTTAGTGCCTGATCCTGACACCATGACAGGATCTCACTAAAGGCTTCTGATCATTCTCAGACCATCAGAAGTCTGATACATTTCAGCAAAGAAATACGTTGTAATATATTTCTGTGCTAAAGAATCTAAAGGTGCCCATACACTGCACGATTATCGTACGAGAATCGCGGGAAATCCTGCGATCGTACGATAATCGCAAAGTGTATGGAAGGCGTGCGACCGTTTCTACTGTACGCTCGCGCGTCTTCCGTCGAACAAGCAGGCTGGAAAACCCGCCGGGACTCGTACGATTCTTGGCGAGTTGGTGGCCTGCTTGTTCGACAACTGCCCGTTTGCAGTCATCGGAAGCCCGCCCCTCATTGCAGTCATCGCAAGTACGATCTGCCTGTCCAAGATGGGCAGGTTGTACGTTTTTTAAATTACTTTACAACCCTCGCAAGACACAAGTCTTGCGAGGGTTGTAAAGTGTATGGCCACCTTTACAAAGCAGTTGTAATACACCAGGCCCACCTGGTCCGAGGTTATGCGGATCTCAGCTTCATATAAGGTAGGGATGTGTGGAGAGTATGGCGTTTGAAGGTTCAAGGCGAGTTTCAAATATAATTGAAGCAATTGCATACAGTCAGTGATGAGTGGTAGCAGCCTCAGCAGGTTAATGTTAAGTTAAGCTATGCAACAATAGTCTGGCAGTTCGAGGTAATCCTTACATATAACTGAGGGTTGAATGAGAGGAATAGCCCTGTCTGGTTTCTAAAGGTGGCCATACACTCTACAACCATCGCATGGTTGTAAAGGGATTAAAAAAACGTACGATCTGCCTATCTTGGACAGGCAGATCGTACTCTCGATCATCGCAAGCCCACCCCCCTGAGGGGCGGGCTTCCGATGACCGCAATGCTGAACGGGCAGTGTGCGCACACCGGCCCGTTCAGCATTTATCTTCCGAGCACCGTTCTAACCAGCCGAGAATCGTACGATTCCCGGCTGGTTTTCAAACATGCTGGTTCGACAGAAGACATGCGACCGTACAGTACGGTCGCACGTCTCCGTTCACACTGCTCGATTATCGTACGAAAAACCGATCGCATACGTTTATCGTACGATAATCGTGCAGTGTATGGGCACCTTAACACACAGATGCAGTCATTAACTCATATAGGAAGGAACTGTGTTGAAGCAGTCAGTTATATAGATTTCAAACAGATGACACTGAGTACTTGCAGTTTGGTAGGATTTGGTTCCACAGTGCCACCCAGAGGATGTAGGAGGAGTAGCCTGCAATGTTCTTCCCACACAAGGGGAAATTGGCTGCTGAGGGAGTCGGTGGGACGGTTTCCTTCAAGTTAGTGAAGAGGCGAGGGAAGTGTCTGCTGAGGGCAGAGAGAAGGGGCACTCGTCCGGTCCAATAGTGTGGGGTTCTGCTGAGGGCAGAGAGAAGGGGCACTCGTCCGGTCCAATAGTGTGGGGTTCTGCTGAGGGCAGAGAGAAGGGGCACTCGTCCGGTCCAATAGTGTGGGGTT